AAAAACAAAGAAAGCTCTTTTGAAGCTCTGAGCCCATTGTTAAGCAAAGAGTGTAGTCTACGTATAGCGAACGCTTCTTTAAACAAATAGGATAGACCAGTTTCGGGAGCTGTCAATAATGTTAGTACTAGAAAATATTAAACCTAATTTATTACTTAATAAATTAAGTTTGGCTTTGACTGAATCAGTTTGTTTGTTAAGTGTAGGTTTCAGTTCTTTGATCAAAGCATTTCTTTAATTAAGCAATCAAACTTGGATTTGCACTTAGATAAAACCTTGAAATAATTAACAGTTTCAGTAGCACTAAAATAATGATCTTTTAAATGTTGTCCTATGTTACCTTTACATAATCATTTCTTATTTAAAATAGAATTATTTAATCAATCAGTAACTTGTGTTTTTTTAAATGAAATTAATGATTTTCTTTAAAAAGATGCTACCCAAGGCAAGACTTTTTTTTTATACCGGTACCTTGTTTGACAAACTAGCTGACTATTGTACAATTTACTGTACTGTTTTTCCGTTTTAAAATGTTTGTGCTCGTTAGCAATTTAGATTTATTGTTGATGTTATCTATGACAGTAATACGTACCGCGAAATGCCAGGCCTCTGAAAGTCCCCATCGTTGGTATTCGCCACGTTATTGGAAATTTTTATTTAAGTTCAAATTTCACGAAAATGGTTTATAACATTCCCTGCAAGTTCGTCGTTCAAAACTGGTGCCGAATCAATGTTTTAAAGCCTCCCATCAGAGCCGTTAATAATAATAATAATAATAATATTTATAATTGGCCGCAAATATAGTAATAATATCTAATAATATTAATAATTTAAAAAAAATACTTAGACCTACTCCCAGAGCTACTCATAGGAGCTAAAAATTAATTTATTTTAGTTCTCAAATATGCATATTCTTTATGTTGATTTATTAATTAAATTTTTGCTACAAGGTATTTTACAACATTTATTTATTTTTTCTTGAATTTTATAATTGAGGGCCATTTTTTATTTCTTGATTCAATTCTTGCTTATACAGTATTTAAATATTTGAAGATTAAAAAAATATATATATATCATTTCTATTACCGAATTTTTCATTGGGGCCATTTTTACCTACCTGTCATATGGGGCCATTTTTTCCGGGGCCATTTTTTCCGGGCCATTCTTACCTACATTTCGAAATGCTCGCCATCGTGTCGGGATTCACTATTACGACATTAATTGTGTCATCATCAGGCCTGATCATGACATATTTTTGTTTGCTTTCTAGTCAACAATGCGGGGAAGAGGAACTTCCACGGTTTAACGGTAACAAAAGAATTACCTTTTATCATTACTTTATAAAGAAAAAATTGTCCAAACCTTTTTATATTTAAATATTTCTTTTAAACGGAATGTTTTTAGTGGTTGCTCTGACAGATAAAGATTACCCTTTTGATAAACCAGGAAATGAACTTCATACGTTAATTTTGCTTTGGTTAATTAGCATGCCTGACAAGTTGTAACAAACATTGGCTGTAAACATACTTCCTTGATTAATGTTGTCATATCCTTTAACAGTGACACTAAGCATAGTCTTTATATTTAAACCATTAGATATGATGCACATAGAGGCTTTGATTATGTACTGATAAAACATTGTTATCATTATCATTAATTGTTATAAGATCCTACAGTTATTCTGGTGTATGTGTGTCTGTTGTTATGTGTGTCTGTTGTTATGTGTGTATGATTGTAAATATGTGTGTGACCAATTTTGAAGAACTGTGTTGCCATCATCTATTCTATTATTTGATTCGATTTGATTTATTAGGTACTCGACATAACAATACATGAGAAACAAAGACAAAAGAGCACCAGGATTACCCGATTACCCGATAGTCATATCCTTATAAAACCAATACAATAAGACACACAAAAAAGACAAATAGATATTCAAAATTACAAAAAAGAAACAATAAGACACACAAAAAAGACAAATAGATATTCAAAATTACAAAAAAGAACAGGCAAAAAGGTATATATATAATGTAGCAAATGTAAAAAGGTACAAAAGTAAAAGCAAAAATTCTTAGAAAGCTATGAAAACGTTATGAAAGATAAAATCTTTACAGGCACGAATCAATTTTATTTAAAAGAGAAGCATACGTTAAAAACATGTTTAAAATTCAAATGGTAATAAAATAATTTAGGTTTATGAAAGGTGTTTTTTTAGTTTAGTTTTAAAATTACTCTGCGATCTAACAATTTTCATCGTGTCTGGAAGAGAATTCCAATCTCGAATGGAGGAGAAGTAAAATGTTGATACGGCAATGCCTTTGACAGGAGGAACAACAAAATTGAACTGGCTCCCTCTTGTATTATGGTTATTGCTAAATCATGATCCGCCACTGAGCCGTTTGTTTTTACTTTACCTATTTAAAACCATGAGTCCACAACCATCTCAGCCCCACCATAGTTGGGGCTGAGGTGGTGAAATGTGGGGAAATAGTAGGCCTACTTTTAGATTGATGGATATGACACTCTTATATATAGTAAAATTTATCATCGATTACCACAGAAAATAAACTTTGTCTTTGATGTATTTACTTTAATTTACCTATTTATGTGCCAAAAACCAATCTTATCCTTGCATGCTTTTTCTCATACCGTACTTATCAAATTATAACAAAGGCACGGGCACGCCGCCTAGCCGTGTAGGCCTATTTAGGTAATTCAGATGATATGGGGCTGAGATACCGGTATGTTGCTATAAAATAAGTTTGTATTCTGACTTTAAGCGCTCTTTCGTTAAAACCTGGGTCATTTTTGCAGTTTATTTCAACAATTTTCGGGCATCTTCTTGACTTGTAAAATTGCATTGCGGACGAAAAATGAGGGGACCAACCCCACTCCCCTTGAAATATGTGGGAGGGGGTGCTGTCCCCTGCATCAATTTCAACAATATAATACATTTGAGGGAGTTGCGATCGCAACATCTGCAACCATGTTGTTGCTGCGGTAATAACATTTTTGATTGTGACACCTCAGATGGCATAAAGGCCTGAAATGGCACACTTAGAATCAAACTTTAAATAGAATTTTCTTTCTTTCTCAATAGACACTTCACCCATAAAATCGATGGAGTGGTTACTGACATGGTTATAAAATGTAGGCTAAAACAATTTTTTACCGCACTTGGAACAGAGCACAGAGAACAGACAATTCATGACAATCATTCGTAATTGTTGTTGTTCTTTCCACTCGCTTTGAAATGTGGGGTTTTAACTATAGAAGATTGGTGAAAAGTGGGGGGGACAATTGATATGATGTCCCCCTACTTTGAAAAGTGGGGGGGGGGAGAACGTGTCCCCCCTGTCCCATGATCGAAGCTAATGGTTACATGTTGCCAAGTGTTTTGTGAGTTGTTCTTACTCTAATTCCGGATTTGAAAAGTGTTCGCATGTTTCCCTATAGTATAGCTTATTATTTCCAATTGCTTTTTAAAATGTGACAATAGGGCCTACGTGGTCTATAACATAGTTTTATTAGGCTAAATCTTCCCACCTGTGGCCGGGTACAAATTTGTGCAACAAATTGAAGATGGTTGTGTAAGTTTACGCACGCACCATCCTCATAATATTGTACCTCCCCATAGCACCTACCGGTATTAGGCCTAAACTCAATGATCTGCACCCATATTTAGGCCTAGTACAAAATGCCAGATTGCTCTCGGCCTGGTTTTAAACCAAGTATTTTGTCTATCCCATCTTCTCCCAATCCCATGCGCCATGCCCTGCACTGTCACACACCAGAGGCGGATATAAGGGCTGGTGCTAGCCGGCCCGCCCATCCCTTTTGGCCGGGCTAAAAAGAAAGGAAGAAAGAAAGAAAGAAAAAAACGATCGACCAAAATGCCTCAGAGGTTATTTTCGGCCAAAATGCGAGACTCGTTCTTCGTTATAGTAACATAAAAAAAAATATATATATATGAAAATACATATAAAAACGGAAGCCATATTAAAATACAATTTAACTTGTTTATCGAGATTTTTTAGACGATTTTCCCCATAATTTCAATAATTGGTTAAAAATAGAAAAATCATAATTTTATTATATTTATAGTTTTTTTTTTAATCGATTCACTGTAATGTACCGTATGTACCGGTAACCATGTAGTTTCCATATTTTTCGCACAAAAAAAAATAATAACCAGTATCTTTTCATACAGGTATAAATTAATAGTACTAGTACCAGGGAACAGTTATCTGTTCTATTTTCTCTATGGTTTAACGAGTCCCTGGTAGATAATTAACTGTTCCCTGGTAGTACTGTGTATTTTGCCAGTCAAGCCTGCATCATGTATCGGTGCGCGGTTTTTCTACTAATAATGGATCGCGCCCTCTAAAGTTTCAACTAGGCTGATGACATGTAAACATGTTGTGAAGAAAATAAAACAAGCCAAGATGATGTCTAAAGTAGAAATTAACTTCACGCGCTTATTAGCCCAGTGTGAAATCATGGTTTCTGAGAAGAAGCAGGGAGACTGGCGGTTAGAAAAAGTAATGATAATGTAGACTTAGCCTAGGCCTATTACTAAAATAGGCCCTAGGTATAAGTAAGTAAGTAAGCTAGGCCTAGGCTAAGCCCAGGGTGTACTAGGCCTAGTAGTCTTAGGAGCCGATCAGGGCTACAGTAGGGCAGACCCCAGACTGTAAAGTTAGGCCTGCGCGGTGAATCCTCTCCGCAAAAGTTCGGCCTAGAAATCCGTCCTGTTATTTTGGAAAAAAGGGTCGGGATCAAGTATACAAGTTTTCGGCGCTAATGCACTTTCGCACCTAACTTTTAATACGCCTTTTTCACGAATCGGTAGACATCTTGAAGTGATGACAAACATTGCGAATCAGCGGTGCGTAACCAACAGAAATAAGATAAGCTTTTGGGCGGATTTTTTTTCAATCTTGATTTCAGAGGTCAAAAAAATTTTTCAATTTTTTTCCAATCATATAGTGGTGTAGACTAGTCTTTTAAAAACATTTTGCTGGAAATTTTTTTTGGATACGACGCCCTGTTATAGAGTTATGATTTTTTAAACAACATGATGTCAGAAAATAAGCCCAAAAGCTTATCTTATTTCTGTTGGTTACGCACCGCTGATTCGCAATGTTTGTCATCACTTCAAGATGTCTACCGATTCATGAAAAAGGCATATTCTTCTTATTCACAACACATATTTATAAAACATTTTTACTTGATTCAACCACTCATAAAGTACATTTTTTCAACAAAAAGATACCTTTATAAATATAGGTTGATACAGGGTTTCCGCGCTTGCTAGCACGACGAGCTGTACTTTTTTGCAATCAAGAAAGAAATTGCCAGAATTTCCGAGTCAATTCTTAAATTTTGAAACTATTAAAGAAAGGCCAATCTTATAATTTTAATTGGAATTTTCCCATGAAACATCCGACAACAGAATGTGGCATCATGCAGTACCATCTTTTTTAACTTTCTTGTCGTAATCGAGGTTAATCGAACCGACGTTTATCATTGGCTCTAATAGTTGTTTTTCTGGATTTAGGCCTAGGCTCCTAGGCCTTATTTTTCGATCTGTGTACGCTTGGATCATTACTAATTTTTTAAGTAATTATTGTACGTGTGAATTTCATGTGAACACACATAGTCGAACAACAGCACCATACATTATAAAGAATGACATACAATACGGCAAATTAGACATAAACGTTAAATCAAAAAACTTCACGCTGCAAACTCAGACATTCTGGCAATTTCTTACTGATTGCAAAATGGCAGCCGTTCGTCGTGCTAGCGAACACAGATTCGCTGTACTTTTTTGTGGGCTTATTTGTTGAAAAAGGTACTTTGTGAGTGGTTAAGTCTTGTGAACATGCTTGTTAATTATATCTTGTGACTGAGAAGAGCATTGAGGTAAAAACTTTAAGAATTAAAAGTTCTGGCAATTTCTTAATGATTGCAAAATGGCAGCCGCTTGTCGTGCTAGCGAACACAGATTCGCTGTACTTATTTGTGGGCTTATATGTGTATAAGAGACAGACTTAGACCTACTCCCAGAGCTACTCATAGGAGCTAAAAACTAATTTATTTTAGTTCTCAAATATGCATATTCTTTATGTTGATTTATTAATTAAATTTTTGCTACAGGGTACTTTACAGCATTTATTTATTTATTTATTATTAATTTTTTTTCTTGAATTTTATAATTGAGGGC